TGCAGCAGGCATTTCAAACCTTCTGATTACAAGCCTGTGAAGAGCTAGAGGAGCTACGATTATGCAATTATGAATTTTTCCCTACTGGGAAAAAAAAACCCTCAAAAATGGTTTTTGAGCACTACAATGAAGTGGCATTGCAGTATATCATATTGCAGGTAGGAAAGTTTGCGCAGGAGGGAAAGAAGCAGGACAGAATAGGAACGTGGCATAACTAAGCTGAAGTTTTAATATATATCCAACGGAACAAGAACAACTTGAAAACATTATTATATCCACCTTTAACCTGGCTAATTTTAAAAGCTGTCTAGGAGTTTAGTGTGTTATCGTGCTCGCATGCAGCAGTGAAGAGGCGTGCTGAAGGCACAGTTACATTAGTTTCAAGTTTTACTGGATTAACGCAGCGGGCGATGCCTGTTTTTTACCAGCTGTCTGCGTGAGGTTTTTAACCTTTAAGCTAAAAACAACTATTCCTGTTAATGAAAAAAGTTTTAAAACTTTGGGGTGCATGGTTTTTTTTCACAAACCTTCCACCTAATTAAAAGCAACGTGCTGTTAAATTTCCATCAGCTGAGATGAGCTGAGGCGGTAGCAAATTGACATTATGTTGTAATTCCAGAAAAGCTAACTTTATCAGTTCTGACCTCAGAACAAGAGAGAAATTACTGCAGGAAACTAAAATCTCTGCCACTGCAGATTTCTAGGATTGGGCACATGAGATGATCCATTGATAAATTTTGAGATTAGATCTAGAGACTTAACCAGTTGTGGCAGTGAATGCTTACCATCTTCAATTTCAAGAGATACTTGCACTAATGTGCTTCCTTCCAAGTTTTTTTTTTTTTTTTAAACTTCTACTTTTCAAGGTTAATTCTATCCTTTAAGGTAAATCATTGGGGCATCTGTTCAGAATCTCTTAGGTTCTGTTAAAAATGTGAAATCTCAGTAGCAAAGAGGCATATGGCAAACAGGGCTCTAATATTGCCTCCTGATTAAAACGCAGGCACAACACCGCACCTGAGTAAAGTACGTGGGTTACAGCTGTAAGTACAGCTGTATCTCAATTTCTTTCATAAGAAAATAAATTGGTGCCAAAAAACGTAGTGGTGAAAGCGGGGGATCATTACCACAGCTGATGTGCTTGGGGCATTCTTGAGGCTGTATGACCTCTGACTATTAAATGACTAATAAACATAATAAATAGTTTTGAAAGAGAGTATTGAACACTAAAACAATGTTATTGGGCACTATATAATTGCAATACAAGGAAACAGGTTGATAGTGATTATTGTAAATTACATGCTCAGAGAAGACATTAAAAAATGTATATAAATGTACGCATAGTGGAGGTTTGTTTCGATTTTGTGCCTGGAGGTTTCAAGGTAGCTGGAGGGTAACTGAGCCAAGCGATACCAGATATTAACTCAGGGCTCCCTGTAGGAAGTCCATTTGTTTTTCTCCTTGTAACAGATCTTCTCTAAAAGTGCATATTGTAATAGATTATCACATGGGTTTGCTCATAGTGGCTCATTCCACTGTGAATTCTGAGATGTTGGATTCAGCAGTACGCACAGCCCTTTCTTGAGTATTTTAGAGTAATATCTTCTCCCACAGCAGTGCTCTTAATGATGGCTTTTCTTTCGAAAGTAGTGTTTTCATAGCAAAGTTTTAACAGAACAAATAAAGGTGGGTGGTATGCCCAAAACACAGGAGGGAAGGTGATGGGTTATGAGCGTGCGTATCTTTGGAAAGTTTTGCCTTATCTTTAAATACTCCTTTCCCTGGAGTGGGTGAGTTTGAGGCTACCCATTGGGCTTTTTGCATTAGTGGATTCTGAAGAAATACGTCCCCCACTGGCACCATTCAGAAGAGTAGCCTATTTTGTACTGGCTTTCTGCAGCGCGCTCAGAAGAGGGAGAGATGTTTCTTGGGTACCTGGTACCTGAATGGTGCAGACTTTCACTTGGAACCAATGGTGGGAGATGTGCAGAATTGTGGAAGAGGCCGTGGACTCCCCTCACCCCCTCCCAAAAATAGAACTCCGGCACCTTTTAATGTTCTTTCTTGGTGGTTAGACAGAGGCAAGTGTGGTCCTTAGGTAAAAAGCTTCAGATCAGTGTACTGATTGAAGTTAGCCTTTTGCATTGCTCTCCCTTACTTAAAATAGGCTAACGTGTTGTTAAACAAATGGCTTCTCTTGGGCATATTTTACACTCAACTCAAATACTGACTTGATCAAATCCAGTGGTTTGTGAGTGATCTCCCAATGGTTTTGCTGTTAGTGGAAGAGGTCCAAAAATCTAGAGCCAAAGTCTGATTTTGAAACGACAGTGAAACAGAAAATTCAGGGTATCTGTGCGTCTTTGTCAGATGCAGAATGTTATTTTTTGTGGCTTGAATCCCCTTTGGTTTGAAGCGCTGCATTTTAAAATTGTTGAAAGAACTGTTAATTAGCACAATTTCTTAGGCTAACTGCAAAGATCCCTGGAGAAATCCTTGCTCTTATTCAGAAACCCGTTTGCAATTAAGAAACAATTAAGTATGCTAAAGGTGTTGTGAAGTAAACAATGACGTTGTGTCTGCTAACCCAGCTTGCTTATAGCCTGTTCCCTTCCTTTGGAGAGTTTATTTTCTTTGCCGGTAATTGTCTGATTCAGGCAGAAAACACTTGGTGCCTCTTTGTGGAAGAGTCCGGTGAAGAACGTGGAATAGTTAAAAGCTGGTTGTCCTAGGGAGAGTTTGAACGAGAACAATGCAGGCCTTGACGCAGTGGAACTGTAGTCACCGCAGAGGAAGAGGGAGCGCGTGGGTGCAGTCCCCAAATGATTGACAGAATACTGGAGCAAGGTCAGAGTGAAGTAAGAGAGCTTCACTGGGTGGGATGAAAAGCACCCCCCACTGGAGTTTAAGCAAGTGGTTAGGGTACGCTCTTGGGAGATACAAAGAAGGACTTGGACCCAGCTTTCCCTTTCTGGGGGAGTACTGCGGCCGCAGACCTGGGGGGGAACTGAGTGTTTCCAGGGCCGGAAAACAGTTCAGGTTAGAAGGGACCTCAGGGGGTCTCTAGCCCAGCCTCCTCCCAGTTCCCCTCGTTGCCTCAGCATGTCCGCAGCGTGCAGAAAGATATATTGGTTGGCAAATCTAGCATGCTGTTGTGCTGAAAAGTGAGAATTAGTACATTTGGGACTGAGAATTTAAAAACTAAAACCTCTTATTTACAGCCAAGGGAATTTATAATTAAACTGAAGACTAGATGCGTGTGTTAGAGCAGAAGAGCAAAGGCAGAAAGTGCGTGCCATGGTAGGCTTTCCTTTCAGCCCAGAGCTAAAAGCCTGGGGTTCCCAATTGGCCTTGTCACTTACTAAACCATTGATTCAAGCTGTCAGGCTCCTCATCTTCCTTTTCACTTGAGCATTATTAGTATTAGTAATGTAAATGAATGGAAATTGTGTAGTTCAGTGCTGTGCGTCAAGTTTCTCTTGGCAGGCACTGACTGCTCCGGGTGGGGGGGTGTGCGCGTATGTGCGTGCGTGTGTATGTGCAAGACTTAGGTCTTGCTTTATTTAACGAGGCACTTCAGTGCTTGCCAACTTACTTAGCAAGTGTTTAGCATATTTAAGTTGTTAAAGTTAAGCACATGCTTCAGTGTTTTCCTGACTAGATACCTAAATCAGAAGTTTTCCGTTTTTATGATAAGTAACATGAGGTTGCTTAAGGTTGGGGTTAATGAAAGGTTACTTGATCCTTCTCTGTGCTTGTCAAGTTCTTTCTGGGTAGCTCTGATTAGCTCTCTCGTGCCTGTTGCACTACTGTGAGATAAGTACACGACAGATGTAATTACAGTAACGCTTTTACGTCGGTACTGCAAAATGGTGAATGTTTGTGATGTCCTAGTTTTCCAGATTAGGTTATGACACTTAAGCAGGAAAAAACACAAGGGATGAAAGGATACACAAGGAAAAGGATAGCAAAGCTAGACAGTTTTTCCAGTTTCTAATTACACCTTGGACTGCCTAGGGTCCAAATAACACAAGATCTGATCAAAACTGTATCTTCACATAAAATAAATGAAAATAGTACGGCTCAAGTCTTCCAAAACTGAATCCTAGTTTTGTCTTAAATGGCAAAAGTGCCAGCTAGTCTGGGGAGACTTCTTAAAATCCCTCCCGCTTGGTTACATTGGCGTTTCTTACAGATGCTTCGAATATTCAGCTAAGAGCTCTTACTATTTGGAAATTATATCGTCTGTTTGCCCCAACAGTTACTAATTATCATAGCTTTTAAATGGTTAAAAAATCCAGGGAACCCTGAACGGGAAAGATTTAATGCCTGCTATATATATGACATTGATATGAAAAGGTGCAGATCCAGCCTTTCTCAGGGGGTGGAGGTGATTAGAGACCCCAGCATCAGCATCAGAAAGTATGGGCTTGGGCCAAATATTCTTCTGTATCCAAACTGAGGTCGCCCTGTTGATTTGGATTTATTACCATTGTATAATACCAAAAAGTTAAAAACCAAAAAAGCCCCCAAACCTTTTACCACCCAAACAAGCAGAGTTATTTTTTCTATTGTAGTTTTCAAATGAGATGCTCTATACAGATACGCTTTCTGGTCTGTGGATTTTTAATATGCTTTTCCTTTATTTCTGTCCCTGCTGAGTTAATGTACTGCTTTCTCCTATGTAGGAAGATACCATTAATTTAGTAGTCATTAAAACATATCATTTTTCTATTTTAAACATGACAGCTTTTTCAGCTGTTTCTGTTAGAATTGTATGGATGAATCTTCTGCTCCCTCAGATGGGCTGCGAGCCAAGCAAATGATAGGATGCAGTCTCGACCATGACAAGAAAATTAGAAACACTCGAATAAACAAGTATTTATGAAATAACTTATCCTCCTGAAGGTAGACAAGAACAACATAACTGAACATTGGACCAAGCTGGTATTGAATTGAAACCCAGTCTTCTACATTTTCTTTCTTCTCTCTCTGCACAGAAAGGTAACACAGAAGATGCAGACAGAAAAAGACACGTGTTATTAAGGTAGGATGAAAGTACCTGATATTTAAGTGTTGCTTGGAAACTTTGATGATCACATAGCAAAATGTATAATGCACCTCTTGACTGTAATGGTTGTTGATTTGTTGGGGGAATAACCTAAGAAGTGAAACTTCTCAGAGTCTTACTGCTATTGTATATCAGCTGCAGACAAATAGAGGCCCAACAGACGAGTGTCACCTGCTGACCCCAAACAGATACTGTATTCTTGATACTATTTTTTATATGTATATATTCCTCCAGTTTTTCATTCTCTGTATACATACTTACATAATGAGTCACCTGTTGGTGTTTCGTAAGCTGCAAGGATAGAATATCTAGTGTCAGCTAATGAGTCTTGGATATGCATCAGTAAGTTCTTAGCTGTAAATTCATCTTGGCTGGTGCTGCAGCATCACATCAACAAGCTGGGGTACAGTCAGAGAAAACATGCTGTAAATAATGGTGCACGCGTATTCCAGGGAGGGCGAGGGAGGGTGGCAGTGAAGTCAGCACTGTGAAAGCTTCCTGTCGGAGAGGGCCAGGGTGGGCAATGACTGTGCATTACGCAGGTGAGGAGAATTTGAATTTGGTGAAGAGAGAAAAATTGGAAGTGTACACAAAACTGAAATCCTTCACTGTGGTTATGTCAGGCAGGTTTGGCTGTTAGGAGATTTGTGTTTATGTAAGCAAGCAGCATTATGTTATGTCCGGAGATTAAATCTCGTTGCGTCGTTTCTCCAGTATTTGACTTGGGGACTGTCTGACCACTGACCACTTAGTCAAAAAAAATGTCCTAAGGGAGTATTTTAGCCCCTAAGACTTAAAAATACAGCAGTGCCTTCCCACCTCCATTTGCATTTTGGAGTAGAAATCCTTGGAGGCCAAATTTATTATGCTCTGTGGTGAAAAAGCAGAATAAAAGATCTTATGGTTCAGAGGAATGTTAAGTATTTCCCAGATACTTTGGAAGGCTATATGCTGCTAGAGTATCCTGCTTTAATATTCTGCTTATTTTGCCAGAAATGCAGCACATTAATAAACCACATTAGGTAGGAAATAGCTTCCTGAGCGAACTAGGAAAGGTAATTTGAGGTTTTCTGCAAAGCTGTGGAAGCAGAGACAAGATGGCATCTCCCAAAAGCTAGTCAAATACCAGTAGAGCAATAACAAAGTATGATACATCATCTGGGAGACATAAGTCAAGGGAAAAGAGTTGAAAAGATACCGCCTCTGTTTGCCTGCAGATAATACCTCCTGGTGGTGAGCCTTTATCACCACAGAAATTACCAAGGACTATTGAAATACATCAGCTGTTCTATGAGACAGTATCTTCAGAACCATACTGACTGTTCAGGCTGGGTGGAGGACTTGCGTGTAGTCCTAACTCGGTTCTGGATCTGAGATACGGTATAGGATTCAGTGAATAATAGGATTTTGGGGCTTTCTTTTTTTTTCCATTTTTGATACTGATGGAACAACTAGGAATTGTTTCTGTTCTGATCACATTGAAATTAAAACCTTCCTGTCTTACCCAGTAACTGGTAATTAATGGTTTGGGTAGTCATCCAGGTTATGGAACAGGTGGGTTTCAGTATCTGCAATGAATATTTTTATAAACAGTGGAACATACCAGAGGTATGATCTCTAGAGGTCCCTTCCAACCTAACGATTCTGTGATTCTGTGATACCAGCAGGGAGACAAGGAACGCTCAGCTTCGAACCTGGTGGAATTAGGGTATTCTTCGCAGGGATTTGAGTTCAAATCCCTTCAAGCACAGCGGGGACCTAAAGCCAAGGGTTCCTATCTTGAGTTTGTGCCATACATTTCTCATCCTCAAATATTTTTGTGAATCCCTCTGCCGTGATTTTTTTTCCTTACTAACTGAAGTTTGTGCAGCAGATTCAAACCTAATTGGTTGGTGTATGCTTGGGGACAACCAGATCCACATATCTCAGAGAATCTAGTGATCATTTGGCATTCTTTTGCTGCTGAGATCTGGTGAGGATCAGCAAAAGACAATTTTTCAGAAACAAGCTTTGAACATGCCTGTCTTGGAAGCAGTGCTTTATTATTTGCTTAGTAAGCATCAGCAAGTTGCCCAGTTGCTGATACGAACTTCATCAGTTGTTTGTTTCCGTTCAAACAAAATTAAGCGAATGCTATAGGCAGATGTTCACTTTGCAGACTCTTGGGCCAGTATCACCCGAGCTGTCACCCGAACTGTTTGTTACTGCCACTCCGTTGGACTGAAAACATGCAGCAATGGGCTTCTGGTAGAATAAGACTGACAGTTAGTCCTGGTGGTTTGAGTTGGTGTGGCTGATTCTTGTCTAAGAGTATGGAGCACCCAGAGGAAGTGACGTGACTTCCAGCAAGCAGGGGTACTACTTGCATTGAACACCAGCTGTCAGATGTGAAAATAGGACAGTCTGCCACCCAGAAGGTGTGCACTGCACAAAGATAATAAATACTCATGAAATAAATAGGTAGAAGGCGTAACTGTAGCATTGATCTGCTGTGGTGGGAATAGGTATTCTAATTACAAAAGCTACTGCATGTACTGTGAAACTTACTGACTCAGAGCTGAAGTGCTGGTATTGAGTTAGCATAAAATAATCTTTCTGTTAAGTCTGATTAAAGCAATCAAACATACTGTGATCACACCTTTAACGCAAAAAAGTTGATTTAGTTCAGTGTCCAATTTTTCCGTAAATACATCAGTGAAGAAGGGCGTTCATTATCCAAGGGCGCATCGCTGTGAAAGGACGGTAAACCTATTTCAGCTTTCCTAAATTCATGGCTAGCTCTGAACTGTGAACAGGACTAGTTGTCATGCACCTACCTTCATGTCACTGACGTTAAATATGGAATTTTTTGGTTAGTATGCTTATAGGCTGTTGGTAGTTTCTTTAGAATGTAAACATTCTCAGATAAAACTGGATGATGTTTCCCTTTTTCAGATTCTGGTGCTATACTGTCTTGTTCTGTATTCCTGTATTCTGGAACTTGATGCTTTCACTTTTATCAAATTCCTTTTATCATGGAAAAGTGAAGATGATTCACATGTTTGATTAAACCACTTAAATGAAAGACAACTCTTGTTCCCACAGCATTAAAGTAACAGAAGTTACTAGCTGTTAGTGTTGTGCCCTTTCAAAGTAAATCAGTATGTTTCCACAAGAGACCTCTTTTAATTGATTTTCTGGGTTTTTTTTCAGTGTTTTAACATGGTTGCATGTACAAATCTGTCAGCTGGGGGATCTGATTCACAGAAGTGTGTTTGATAGATGTCTGTCCGTATGCTTAGCCAGGCAATATCAACCCCTTTGAATTAAATGTAGTATTAAGGGCAAATAAAAAGTGTCTTTCTTTGGGATAGACTAGACTTGCTAAAGAGCAAGCAAAAAGCTAAAGAGCTGCTAAAGCAGCTAAAGAGCTGCTTGCTCTTTACCATTTGGGGATAATTAAGTATGGCAGATCCATCTTGCTGGGCTTTGTCTGTTGCTACTTCTTTTCATGTAAGAGCTAATTGTTAAAACTAATTAGATTTAACAGCTCTATTGGATAAATGTAAGGACAGCTGGAGGAACACCCGGTGGTGGTGAGCACCACACCATAACCAGAGAAGTCTCTCTAGTCTGAACGTACATGATGCCAAATACAGCCAAATAGAGTAGGCATAAATATTCTCATGACACAGTTATATTTATGGGAGACGGGTCTTGTGTCCTGCCTAACTCCATTATACGTTTCCAGTGCCAATATAACCCTCTAGTCCTCTTTGACAAAGATGCGCAGACAGAAGAGCCAAAGAGCTTAGAGTATAAAATATTAGCAATATACAAGTGGTAAACAGAACGGCTCGACTATTGTTGTACATGATTACCTTGCCTTATCTATCAAGACAGCTTTGGCAGACGTTGTCTAAGGATTATCAAAGTAGCAAGCTGATAATGAAAAGTTGGAAATCAATGAAGCGTGTTTTGAAGGAAGGGATCACAAGGCTGATGTTTCACTCCCCTCTGTGTCCCTCCGAATGTGGTCTTCATAAATTATGCAAACGAAATGGCAGTTTGTATAGAAGATACAGGATGGCAAAATTGATGAACCGAGGCAAATGTGTAGTAATACTTTCTCGAGCAATTTTTTTCTGATCTGATCTTCACTTTTTTTTTTTTTTTTCCTTCTGGTCATGCTTTATAGTTTAAACTTTTTTTTTTAAACTGTTTTTTGTCTTTGAGTCAGAAAAGTTGATAAGGATTTGGAAATCGGTGGCAGTAGGCCTTAGATAGCAACGCTTCTTGCAATACACTGCAATTACATTTAGGTTTTCCTCTTGTACGAAATACAGGAAATGGAAAAATTGTTACTGATCCTTTCTTGATAGCGAAGTAAATGATAAAGAAGTTAATCAGCAAATGCTTTTGGACTTCACTTTCTTCTTCCAAATACCCTTTTTATATCCTCTAGGTGAGAGTTTTGAATCCAGTTTTGTGGGTCCGTCCGTGTGTATGCACACCACACACGTTTACTTCAGTATTACCTGAAGTAATGCAAAATTCTCCGTGATACTTTTTTCCTTTGGTTTTGAGAATAGCTGTAGTTTATCTTTAAATTTTATTCTGCTTGATATGCGTGAAACCAAAATAAAGCTAGTTAAACTGAAATTCATCCACATAGCCTTTTGCACTAGTAGTTTACTGAATCAGCTTTAAATTGCTCCCGTCATGTGTACGTGCACACTTATTCCATGTTACTGTGTAACGCGTTCTGATCCCACTGAATGCAGCTCCCTCACGCCCATTTAGAAAGACCCGTTTTAATTGCTGGTATGCCTACACGCTCTGTGTACCCCGTCCCTTTCAGCAGTCTTGGTAGCGCAGAGGCGGAATCTATGTCAAAGCAAAATTTTACTCTAATTGCTGTCAAGCAGCTTTTTTTTTTCTTTCACAGCTGTAAAGCAGGTGTCTGTTTCTCAGTATAACTAGCGCTACAGCAAATTGAATGAGGGAGTACTAATATCCCTGAAAGCTGAAACAACTTTGAGGATCATGAGTCATATCAGCTGTGTGGGTGGAGCTGAAGAAATAGGATCACAGAAAGTATTTCCCTATAGATTTCTTAACGAAAATACAGTTTATTTAAATTCAGAGCTTTGGATGGTGTGTGTAAAAAGAGAAATCAGTCCAATTTACACTAGAGACTACGAGTACAGTCCCTCCCAAGTGTGAGGTTAGGCTTACTTTACTTCTAATTTGCGCAGTCTGTCTCTCATCTTAAACAGCCACGTTTCAATGCTGGCATACACGGGCACCTTTCTTTACTGCAGTGGAATAATAGGGCTGCGTTTCTGGATCCAGCTGGTGATGTATCTTGACTGGGAACTGAGTATGGTCATCTTGGGCAGTAGAGGCTTTAATAGTGCAAGCTGTGCAAAGCACTGCAGGAAACCATTCTGTGGTGCTGAAACACTTAAGATAGTTTTTTTTCCTGACTTGAGGTTGTTAGTGACTGTCTCTCAATGGAGTGTTACTTAGCCTACTATAACTGCTGATCGTATTTCTATTCAGAGAAATTTTATGATGGCATGTAACTTGCTAAGCCACAGCTGCAGTAGGACTTCAGGTGTTTGCTGTGCTGCACTTGAAAATTCTTCTTGTGGGTCTATCACAAAACAAAATTCTTTTTTCCAGAGAAACTGTAAGCTAGTTAGGGCAATGAGAGGAAAAATACTGGAGACCTGTGTCAAGAGGCACGTTCCCAGATCAGAGCCCTTGTTGAGAAGAGCAAATTTCAAACGTATGTTAAATATACTTAAGATTCCTATGTCTGTAACTTCAGATGCATTTAAGACTTGTTTTCTTCTAAGTTTTTCTCTCTTCAGCTATTGCTGCATCAAACAAAATCTGCCCGCGGTGTGAGAATTCTCAGCTAGTTGGGCTTTCTAATTACTGTAAGATTTGTCAGTACTTTAAAGCATGTTGCTGTTGTGTGCTGTAGTGATAGTTTAATTAAAGCGTATACAAAATATATAAATAGGCAGTTCTTATTTGCATATGCTTTTAAGTGCATGCTATCTGTGGACCAGCTCTTGGCTTCAATGATGGTGACTTTCTGGTGTCAGCGGGCAGTACGAAGGCCCTGGCAGCGGGAGGCAGGGAGACTGGGTGAGCCTCCTTCTCCAGACACCGCTGTGGCTAGGCAGCCAGGTGCTGGGCTGTGCTTTTGGAGCAGTTCCTTAGCTTTAGAGGGAAGTAAGGAATAAATCTTTCTTCAGGCAGGAAGGGCATGGAAGCACGCGTCTCAGAGCTGATTTTCTTTCCTGCTGGAACACAGTTAGAGAGTCAAATTCTGCAACTGATTGAATTTATCTTTGCTTCCTCTCCTAGTTTCAACATCTTACGTTTTTCATGACCCAGAGGGCATTGGAAAGGTGTATGACAAGATTTTTTCATAAAATGAGCACTGTCAGTACAGAATATTCTAGGATTTGTTTTTATTTTTATGGTCCAACATATTTTGCTCTCTGTGTGATCTGTTTATTTTGAGAAACAGTGAGGACCCGTATTGCCCATTGACTTCATTACTGTCCTGCAGGTATTTTTTTTAAGAAGAGCTGAGCCTGGGAAGCAGCAGATTATGAATTTTATGAACTCCTTTCTCACAAATGGCACTTAAGGCGTGCAGTTTTCTTTTAGCGTGACATTAATGCTGTCTGTGGCACAGCAGGACTGTCAATAGCTTTTGAAAATCAGAGGATGTGAATCATCGTAAAAACAGTGCTAATGTTATTTTCCATGACTAGCGGTCCATGATGTAACTCTGGATGCAATGTTGCTTTATTACTGAGACCAGAAATTCAGCAGGTTGGGAAAGATTTTCCCTGACGTTCCTTGAAGCTTTCTTTGATACCACAAGTCATCTAGCTATTAAATTATATTATTGAGAGTAATGACGCAAAAACTTGAAAACCCCTCTTAGCACAGGAGGGCAGACATGCTAGATAGTTGTTGCAACACACTGCAAAACGTTTCCCGAGAGGATGACCAGAAAAGACATTTGTGTCCACTTCCCTGGTTGCCAAAGAAGGAGGTCATTAGGCCCACTAGTTAATGGACAAGTGTAATGAGACATTCTGAGCCTGGAGTTTAAAGGTGCTTAAAGACTACTAACAACATGCTAAGCCTCTGATTTTTCTTTGTTTCATGACGACTTAACAATTTGTTCTAACGTTTCAAATTCCCCTGCCTCCCCATCACGTGGGTTTGAATGCTGTCTGTTTTGTTGTAGATTTCCTGTGAGCTGATGAAGATTCAGTTGCAGTTCACTTTAGTGAAGTATCCAAATAACGTTTTTTGCTCTTCATGAAGTATTGACATAATTTGGGTCGCTAACAAAAACTACTATTTAGCGTTGGTCTTCAGTACACAGTTGTGAGCGTTGGTGGTGAAACATTTCTAGGGATTATCACAAGGATGAAGCCCATAATATTTGGATATGACCGGTGGGGAACGCCCTGGAGAGTCTTTCTGATTAATGGGGCATCCTTTTGGTTTTACTGTTTGGATGGCTTGAAGGCAACGTTTATATTCTGCAAAGAAGGTTGAGAGAGCTTTTGTTCCTAAGTAGATGTCCTGATACCCTCCTGTCACGTGCCACAGGCTTTCACCTGAAAGGAATAAGGAAAGACATTGGTAAAAGTCCGGACTTGCACTGTGAGGAAAAGAGACCTCTGTCAGTATGTATTGTGTGCAATGCATAATCTGCTCTGCAACTCTTCTTTACAGATGGTACAGATGTGGGCAACAAAAAAGGGCTTGGGCTGCGAAGTGTGTTTAAATTTTTTTTTTTGCTGTTGAGTAGAGGAGTACTCCGTTGGCATTGCAGATACAGATTTTCCCTGCCTTAAATGCCCCACGTTGCTGTGCGTCGCCGTGCTGGGCCCGTGAGCCTCCTGGTCCTGCTCAGGTCCGCAAGTGTGATTGGCTTCCAGCTTCGGTCTCATCGGGCTCTCTCTCCTTCCCCTGGCATCTAGTATTCCTTCTGGGTACCCTGGGCTCTGCTTCACTGTGTCTGGATCAGCTGCACCTCTTGAGTTACCTCCCGTCCAGAGGTGTCCCAGACACGCTCTGATATGTAGGTCACTGCCCAGGGATGTGAGATAGCAGAAGGGAAGAGCTGAAGAAGTTTGCAAAGCTCTCTTAAGGGATCCATTTTACTTTTAGGCAGCATTAGGAGTAATAAACTTCCTGTGTGTCCCGTCCTTGTTCTCTGATGTCCAAAGGAGTCCAGGATTATTCCTCTCATCCTTCTTCCCAAAGAAAAGGCTTCTTATCCAGACTCCTCTATCTGCCTCTTGCGGTCAGCTTCCTTCAGCACAACGAGCAGCTCTGGCAGTCGGTGTTCTCTGGGGAATGGTCCTCCCTCTTTTCCTCCCTCCTCTTCAACCCTCTCTTCTTCGAGCTCAGCTTCTGCAGTTTTGCTGTAGGTTTTAAAAATGTATCAGTCTATTTCTTCCTCTGTGGGGTTCGCCGTTCCTTCTCAAGAAAGAAATGTAGTATCGTTGCCTTGTAGTTAATTTTTAGTTCTCCAAGAGCTTGACTTATGCATGAAATACTTGCTTTGTTTTCTCGGTTTCACAGCAGAATTTTTCATTTTCAGATCACTGGGTCATTCTCTTGCCACGTTTGACCGGAGTCCTTAATCCAAGAATGTTTCTTGATAAAATCTTGAGACCTGTATCTCTCTGCAGAGTGTTCCTTTTCTGATGAAATGAAATGTTCTGATGACACTTCATTGAGTTGAAAATGAAAAAGTTTCTAGCCAGCTCTCACCTAGATGACAAGCGTTTTGCAAATATTACGGCTGGCAGGTAATGCTCGATGTGGCTGTGAATCTTACATATGACCAATGTCAGAAATTCATCAGTAACTGTGTAGCTAAATGCTGTCTGACATCTGAGTCACCCCTGTGTTACTCAATTAAAGCTGGTTATTATATAAAATTACACCAGCATAGACCTGCAGCGTTGGAGTAATAAATTGAGTCCTAAACGTCCTTTCCGCTATGAGGCTATTGGCAAAGGGAAAAAGATTGGATTTTGTTTTTGAAGTGCAATTCTGTGCACTGCTTGGATCCTGTCATAAATGAAAGTGTTTGTACTTTCTTAAACCGCACTTACTTTGAGAAGAGAGAGTCTGATCCTGGCTTGTGCCATGTCTTTTAAGGGAAGCTTCCACTGTTGGGGAGAGAAAGGAGGAAAAAAAAAATATTTTCCCTACTTTTCTGCTTGTTGTTGCTGTTTGATAGAAGGAATGGAAACTCGTGGGCATTTCGTTTGCTGACTTTCATTGTCTAATCCGCAGACCTCCAAAATGGCACGTATACTTCTCTTGCAAAGCAGAGTCAGATAAATCTTATGTTACCTGGCTGTGGCTGGTGATAACACTGGGTATCTGAATAGTGCCCGGGGTGAGTTGAGGCCTTGTGGTCAGGGCAGCAGACGCTCCAGGCTGGTGGCAGCAGCCGGGCTCGGGCTGGAAGTCCCCTCTGCAGGAGGAGCGCACCGAAAGCTGGCAGTACTCAGAGACACCTGCCACCTTGACGTTTTCAGTCAGATCAACACTTTCCCCAAACATCTGGGCATGTCTGGAAATAAAGTGTGGTTTAACCCCTAGTTGTGTTTGAGGGCCTATGGCAGGTCTCAGTATTGAATGCTGCTGCTGTGCTTTTTTCCGGGTGATACACTGACTCAGTAGAGGATTGCTAACTTTGCTTTACTGTTGCTTTCTGATGCAGCAGGCAGTGTAACTGATCTGGTTGTTACATCTGGCTCAGCCAAGTATGTGCTTGGATGTGTAGGTTGTATGCATCTTACTCAATCTGCAGTTTAAAAGTTGAGGTGGTTACTTTTTCAGTGACTGTTTATTATTTTCTCTAATATCGATGATTTTGTAAGAAATTCTGGCACGCCTTTACCACATAGTTTTCCAAAGTATTTTTCATTTTCATTCAGGGCTTTTCAAAACTTTGGCGTTTTTGTGTCACATACGTTACCTACAAAATTTTTCCAAATAATGTGGGGACATAGTGAAATTCCGGTATCTCTCAAGAACCACGACAAATTGTCTTCCATGTCCTATAGCTTTGGCTTCAAAAAGAATAACATTTTTATAGTATTTTCTTACCGCTTCAAACTGTAAGCTTCATAAAAGCAGACTTTCTGAATCCCTGTTTTTGTTTCATTGTATGTTGAAATGGATATGTCAGCAGCAACGTTTTTCTTCCTAGACTTGAAGTTACAGTAGTAACTCCATAAAAATAGCACGTTCCAGAATTAATGGAAAATTTGTGCTGAGCTACTTCGTATTAGTTAGCTTTGCATGTCACCTCCAGTGTTTCTGTTGGCTGACAAAAATGGCTGGTATTTTCTGTTTAGCAGTTCTTTTGACTCTCTGTCTGTAAAGCCCGGAAGCTAATAGTCTGCAGGGGGAAGTCTTCATACGTTAAATGGAAAAGATGATTGATTGACGCATAGAACAGGCAAGCTTTCAACCACATTGCTGAAGTGTTATTTTTAAATCAATTATGATTTCTAATTTGTTTGACTTGTTTGATGATTTTGAGAAATACTTTTATAGCTTAGATGAGAGGGCGGCAGATACATTGGATCTTTTTATTCTTTTAATGTGAGCTCAAATGAACAAACACGCTAGATGTTTTAGATATCCTGGCGGTTCTAGGAAGCAAACAATTCACATGATGCAGTCCTGTTCAGTTTTACGCTCAGCGTGAAAAAAAACTACGCGTCTTTCAGAGAAAGCTCTGAGAAATCTGTTGCTTGCACTTCCAACTTGCTCGCTTTAGAGACTGTACAAAACTGGTCTCAGAAAAGACAATATTCTGACAGAAATTCAGACCTTCCTTCACCAAACAAACAACAAGAAAATGTCGAGCTAAGCCCTTAAAATTGCCAGCTTACGTCCCTTACCATTGCAGATTAAGAATACAGTGTACTGACACGGATGAAGAATCTCATTAAAACTGCATGCTGGAAAAGTTTTCTAATGGAAAAACGTCTTTCCAATAAGATCAGAATTCCTCAGTGTCCCACACTGCTGCATTTTTTTCCATGCTCCCCTTCAGACTATCAAATGAATATTTCCTTTATTGTCTGCCTTCAAAAGAAGAAAATTGATGAGAGGCTTTCAGGAGAGCAGTCCCAAACCCCTTCCTCCTCCCTCCCCAGTTCTTTTTTGAATTCTCTGTAATATATTTCTTCTTAATTCTATGATGCAGAAAGTTTTTTTTTTCAAAATGTTTTTTTTTTTTTCTTATTGAAAAGTACTTCCATGTTCTCATCTGTTCAAATAGCTGCGTTCCTGCATCGTCCATGGTTTCGTGCAGGAATGGTGTGTGTCGTGGTTTTTGTTTCTCCTTGTTGCTTTATTTTAAGGTTATTTGGTCAGAAGACCAGGGTATGCCCTGAAATATGGTAATAGGGTTTTAAAGGATTTTAAAATAAGCTGCATAAATTTAAACGGGTAAATTGGATGACTTTTCTGGAAAATTGGCTTTTGAGAATGCTTGAGGCCCTCGGTTCGGTCCCAGCAGAGCTCCGAGAAAGAGCATGGAAGAGCCTGGAAGTTTGAGACTTGTAAAAATGTAGTATGGTTGTGCTGGGAAAGCAGGTGGTGAAAGTACAGTGTGGGTGGACATCCGGATAATTTCCATCTAAAGCGCACAATCTCAGGTGCCATGAGACCCTAGAGAGAAGAGCCTGCAGTGCTGCGGCTCTGCTGTGGCCCTCATCCCTGCCTTTGGGTTGCCAGGCAGTGGGTATTAACACGTTGCTGTTGCCAAGGCCGCGGCACAGTCAAGGTGGGATTGCGTGAGCTGGCGGCGCGGCAAGCGTTAGAGGCTCTCTGAGCTTACGCGTTCCAGGATGGGAAGAGGCACGCTCTGTCCTGCAATTTAGTATGCTGAAGACAGCTTGGTTAGTCTCCCTTCTGGGGAACTGAAAGGTAGGAGGCAGATTGAACGAAGAGACTGTGAAGCGGTCAGCAAGAGAATGCCAGAATCTTACAAATGCTGCGTCAACATCTGCTGCTTCGTTCTCTGTCTCTGAAATAAACTTCCTCTGTCCGTCTCAGTCTATTCTGAAGGCGTTTTCTCAGTTTGATGCCAAAAAAAGCTTCATTTTTAAGTACGCTTTTAAAGCACCAGTGGCTTGATTTACATTACCATTTCTGTTCTACTGTTTTCAGAAGTTTAACTGCAGCAACAGTATGTCTCCTCCTAACAGCATCCATAAAAACTAATTTTTATGAGAAAGCTGCCATTTTTGCTCTAGTGCTCTATTTTAGGATATACATTTGAGATCCAGTTTGATAACATACACTGTTATCCGTCATCGAGAATGTTACTAGACTACCCCTCACGTCCAGCTTACTGACATAATCGACGCATATGTCTGATTTGCTGACTGTCGGTTTGGACTACTCTTACTCCCTGCTTCAAATAAGGGTGTATAGGTACACTTTAGTTTCTTCTGAGGAAATAGCTTCTTTGTTACTCATAATAATTAGATGATGTAAAATTCAACTAAAACTTTCTTTGCAAATATGGGAGAGCTTTGGATTTCATCTACAGTGTCCCTTCTAGATTGTG